CAGTTGAAGACGACGCAAAGATTTGCGGCAGTGCGGCTACTCAGAGCGCAGTACAGGTTTGCGAAGCCGAGGAAGCAGACGCCGCTGCGTGTGAGGTTGCAGCCGGTGAGTCCGGCGAGAAGCAGTTGGCGGAGCCGGCTGCCTGCGCTGCGCCTAGACTCAAACAAAAGGATGCGTGCGGCTCGGTTGAGTGCGACATGGCGTATGCTGAGCTAAGCGCACGTCGCTTGCACGCGAAAGACGCTTCGAAGAAAGTTGTGTTTGCTGCGCAGCTCGCGAGTTGCAAAACGCACAGCGAGACGAGAGTTGAGGAGTCGGCGAGTCCAGTGCAACGGCCGGCGGCTGGCAGTTATCAGCCGGGCCGCAGTGACTTTGCAGCGAAAGACAGCGCGAGTGCGTTGCAAATTTCTGTCGAGACTGACGGAGGCCCGGTTGCCGCCTCGGATCGGTACAAAGCGACGCCGCTGCAAACGTGCGAAGAGCTTGGCACGGCGAAAACGCCTTCGGCGAACTGCAGCAGAGAGTCGGAGAGCAGTTGCGGATTGCGGTCCGGGTTATTCAAGACGTACGGGGGGGACGCGCTGCAGACGCAGGAGCTCTGTGCAGACCCGATTGCGTATTTGAACGAATTAGCGGCGCTGGCGTGCGAGCCTTGCGCGACGGACGCGTATGTCGCTAGGAACGAGTTTGGCGTCGGCAATGTGTTCAAAATGTACTTGACGCGAAAGACGGATGGAGAGTCAAAGGACTGCAGTAACGCAGGTGCTCGCACGAGGTTGAACGCGGCGTCGAAGCGGTTGGCGCAATGCGAAATTTGCGTGGCGGAGGCGAGTGGGCTGTGGCGAGATGGCGAGTCAAAAGACTGCTGCGGCGCCGAGTTGCGCGCGCCGCGGAAGTGGCTCCCGCGCTGCCAGATCTGCACGATGGAGGCGAGCGGCGCGCGGCGAGTAAGCTACTCCGACTCGGAGATAGCACCGCAGTGTTCGTTCGCAAAAGCAAACAAGGGCTTGGGGTACGTGAGCGACGATGAAAGCGCGCGCACGGTATGCGACGTGACGGGCGACGCCTTGTACGCGAAGCGCGTTGTTACAAGCGCTGTAGCGAACTTTGCTTGTGAGCGGCCGCGGTGCATAGGCCCGCGTCTGGCGTGGCTGTCAGAGTTGCTGGTGTACTATCGGGCGATTGAGGCGAAGTCAAAGTGGCTGTTGTTCACGGAGCCCGTGCAGACGGGCAGGTTCAACTTGTACGAGGTGATGCGCGTTAAGTACTACGCGCGGGTCGACGGCGGTTGGCGCGAAAAAAGCTTCGCGGGAGAGTTTCCCACGTTGCGCGCTACGCTGCATGCCGAGTTGCGCCGTGCAGAGTTCAAGCGCACAGGGTCTTTGCGGCGCAATTTGTCACTGAACCGGGACGTGGTGCACTTGGAGTTGGGCTCTGGCGCGCTGAGCAGAGCGAGAGAGCGACATCGGCGGCCGGCGAGCGCCTTTGCGTTTGGCCTGTTGGGCGCAGCACGGCCGCACAGCGCAAAGAGTCAAATCAACAAGCGTCTGGCGAAACTGTCGCCCACCGGGAGCAACGTGAATCCGCTGCCGCTGTCGGCGTCGGCGAATCTGTTTCGCTACAAGCTGACGAGTTCGGAGCGCGCGCGGCGAAGGCTAGTGGATTTGAGTTAGGTTGGCCTTTTTGCTGTTTTTGTAGCTTTTGACGATGATGAACAAAAAAGTCGCGGCGATGAGCGACAGCGAGTAGCCGAGCGCAAAATACTTAGAGTCCACAAACCGGCTGATTGTGCGGAGCGCCGTGTCGTAGCTGCGATCTGCGCAGCGGCGCTTACGAGTGGCTGTAATTGTCGTAGTCCATGTTTTCGGTAATGCGAATTTGAGCCGATTTTAAAAAGAACGTGCGGTGTCTAGCATTCAGAGCGAGGAACGCGAGCTGCAGCAATCTCGCGAACGAGAAAGACGCAGACGGAAAGCGCAAGCGCAGTGCATCAAAAACCTGGGCGGCTTCAAGAGCCTGGCCAAGGCCGAGGGTCGCGAGCCGGTGAAGCTGGTCTGGGACGGCTTTCAGTGGTATGCGCAAAGCGACAAAAGCGCGGGCGATATGAGCGACCCGATCTTGATAAACTGCACGCGGAAGCTGCGGCGGCTGTACTTCGGCAACCTGCCGACGCACCTGGGTTTGACGGAGGAGCAGTTCAACGACGAAATATTCGACGCTATGCGCAAGCTGAAGTTGTGCAACGACCCGGACCGCAACCCTGTGTTGTGTACGTGGATTGCGAAGGATAAAGGCAACTACGGCTTTGTGGAGTTCGCGACGGTGGAGGAGGCGGAGCGCGCGCGCGCGCTAGACGGCATGATTATTCTGCGCACGCCCGTGCGCGTGTCGCGGCCGTGCGACTACAGCAGCGTGTCGGGATCGGCTACGGGGTTGGACGCGCAGTCAGCGCAACTGCTGGAGGGGTTCGTGCCGAACATGAGCCAGGCGCTGGAAGCGGGCGCCGCGATGGCGCTGGAGACGCTGAAATCAGGCACGCAGAGCGTCGGTGGCAGTCGCGTACTGGTGTTCCGACAACTGATCTTGTCGAGCGACGTGTCGAAAAAGGAGGACTACTTAGAGCTGTTCGACGATATTTTGGACGGCGTGTCGAACTTCGGCCGAGTGCAGGTCGCGGCGCTGATCACGCCAGACTTCGCGAAGGGCGACGAGAGTTTCAACGCCGGCGACGTCTTTCTAAAGTTTGCGACAGCTGAAGAGGCGCAAAACTGCGAAATTGGCATGCGGTCGCGGCGCTTCTTCGACCGGCCGATCCAGATCCACTTCATTGCGAACCGCGTCTGGCTGAACAAGCTGCGCTGTCTGCCGGAGAGCGTTGTGCGGCACTTCCACGTCGAGACGAGTTAGTCGCGCGGCAGCGCAACGGCTGCCGCGAAAGATTGTTGCGGAGCGGCGCGGGGCGCTCCGTTCCTGCGCACGGTGAAATGGCGGAAGAGTAGGTGCCGCGAGTAGGCGATGATGAAACAGGTAATGATCGCGAAAATTAGTGCGAACGAGACGAACTCGAGATTGAGTTCGCATTTGCCGAGTGCAAGCGGCACAGTCACGACCGGCGCGCTGGTGTTCAAGTTGTAGCCGAGCAAGTCAATGATTGAGTAGGGCAGTCGCTGCGGTTCGTGGTGGTGCTGCTCGGGGTTTAGCAGATTCAGGTTGACGAGCTGAAACGCGTGCACGCCGAGCATCTGCGAGAGTCGGTCAATGATGAGCTCGTTGCGGTGCGCTTCGGGGACAGAGGTAAGCGCGGTTTCTTCGTTTGCGAGCGTGCTGCGTAGTGCGCGGCGCAAATTTTCCGCGTTCAACGTCTTGGCGACGCATTTATAGATCGGCGGCACGAAAGATACAAAGCTGAACACGTTGGCGTAAGAGCGCGCGCATTTGCATAGATGCGAGATCTCCACGTCGCACTGCACCGCTTCTTCGCTTTCGCCGCCGAACTTGCACTTGGGGTAGATGATAAAGCAGCCCTCTTGGTTGAAAATGTCGTGCGAAGACGCGACGTGGCACTGCGGCAGTTCGTCGTCGTTGGTGTTGCTAAGGCGCTTCGCGTTGCGGTAGTGCGTGCGTAGTATGTCTGCCCAAAAGGAAGCGACCGAGCGTTTGGACGCATAGTACGCGGAAAGCTGCAGCGCGCTGATGCCTCCCTCTTTGTAGCCGTGTTTTTCCAAGATTTTGCGCAGAGCGCTGCGGAAGCCCTCCAGCGCTTTCTCAGCTACTTCGTCGGCATCGGGTTCTCTCCCTTTTCTGACGGCGGATTCATCGAAATCGTTTCCGGCAGGCGGCGCGCTCGTCGTCGTGTACTTCGTGAGCAGCGAATGCAGTCCGACGAACTGACCTGGCTCCACAAGGTCCGTGAGTGACTCTCGTTCGAGGTACGCTTGTAGAAACGAGAAAGGTGCCGAGGAACTCAGCTCTGCCATTTTGACGCTGCGCTCAGGCGCGCTGTGAGCTGACTTCGCTCTGGCAGACTTGCGCTGCTTCGAAGCCATGGCTTGGTCGCAGTTTACGCGTTGCTCCAGCTCGAAACTGCGAATTTCGATCAAATTAATTCAACCGCGAAGCGAATATAGATTATGCGCGGGCGCGCCGCAGCGAGCACTCACCAGACCAAGCCCGTCCGCGCGACACGAAGTTTGAGTTGGTCAAACAGTTCGCAGAACGCTGGCCAGTCGAAGTTGCGCGCGAGGTGTGCGGTGCGGCTACTTTGTGTGAAGAAGACGACTTCAGATGCAACGCTCGCCGTGCCGGCACTGCGCACGCTGTTTCTGCAGAAAAACTCGAAGGTCTTCTTGTACATGTCCGTCAGCCGCGGCTGCTCGGCCGCTGCATCGCCCTTTAGGCAAGACAGCATTGCTTTTACGTTATCTTCGTCCAACGGGATGCCGAGTAGCTGCACGGTCGCAGCGACGTAGTGCCCATTGAGTACGCGGCGCAGCGGAGATTCCGTGTGCGCAGCGGCGAAGAGCGTGAGTCCGCGTGAAAGGCGGTAGTGCTCGCCGTACCGGAACAGTTCGTTCCAAAGGAACCAACGCGCGGCGTACAAGTGCACCTTGGCGTCTGCGTTGCGCGTGGCCATGCGCAGCGGAGGGTCTTTGCTCTCCTCCGGCGCAGTCCACTGCGCGGCGGCGGCGGCCAGCCGCGGTCGCTTGAGCTCTCGCGCGCATCCCGTGGAGTCTTCCGCACTCGCCGGCAAACGCTCAACGCTTTTGCAGGGCGGCATAGAGCTGAGCAGTTGCGCGTACACAACGTCCCACGAGGTGTCTACGGGCGAGTGCGCGTCGTCGTCGGTGTCGCCGCGCTGCGCCTCTTGCAGAAAGCGCTCGAAGTCTGCGTCAACGTCCTCTTCTGCGGCGGCGGGCGCCTCGCGCCCGAGCTGCGCCGCGTCGGTCAACACTTGCAAAAACTCTTCAAAAGCGAGCCTGAATTTTCCTGCGAACTTAAATTCACATTAATAGTTTTGGTCGCCTCCTTCGCGAATTGGTCCGCCGGCAACCTATCGCAGATCGCCCCAAACAGCCCGCGCACGTTAGTGCCGGACTTCGCGCTCGTTTCAAAAAAAATCGCGTCGTACTGCTTCGCTTTCGCCTCCTGCTCCTCCACGCTCACCGCGCGACTTTTCGCCGCGTCGCTCTTGTTTCCCGCAAGCGCAATGATCACGTCGCGGCCGCGCTCCTTGTATACGCACTCGATCCAGTTGTCCACAGCTTCAAACGACTCGCGGTTCGTCAAATCGTATACTACCACCACTGCCGAGCAGTCCCGGATGTAGCTCGGGATCAGAGAGTGGAAGCGCTCTTGGCCCGCGGTGTCCCACAGCTGCAGTTTGAAGGTTTTGTCATTGTGTTTGAAGTTTTTCGCGAGGAAGTCAATGCCGATGGTCGCCTGGTAGGTTTGGTCGAAAGTGTCGTACATGAACCGCGTGATCACCGAGGTTTTTCCGGTGCCTTGTTCTCCCAGGAACACGAACTTGAATTTCATCTCCGTGCGTCGCTGCTCCGCGATGCCAGCCACTTCGTGCGAATTATTGAATTTAATATTCGCAAAGTTTGATTTTCCGGCGGCGGCGCCGCGCGTTACGCGCCGAATGTGTGAATGTATGTGAACACTTGGTCAAAGACCGAAAAGTCGATGCCGCGCGGCAGTCCCGCTTGCGCCAGCTCCAGCAGCGCGGCTTGGAAGATCGGCAAGATTTTGCGCGAGTTAAAGGTGGACGAGTAGAAGCTTTTGTCCAGCTCGCTGATGCGCAGCGCGAGACTCAGCAGCATTTGCTCCGACTTCGGCACGAGCGAGCTGCTGAGTTCGAACGAGTCTAGCTGCGCCTGGATGCTGCGCAGTTTCTCGAAGTTGAACAGCACGCGCGCCGCGCGCAGCTGCCAGGTAGGCAGCGGCATCAGCATTTGCTGACAGTTCGCAAAGCGCTTCGTACGCGGCGCGAGCTGCACTGCGTGCGGCGCGTGCGAGAAGGTGACGGCCTCAGCGCCGACGCCGAACGTGTACTCCGCGTAGCAAACCACGCCGCGCGCGCGTACAGATTCGGGCGCGTCCCAGCTCGCTTCGACCACGGCCGCGCCGAGCTTGTTGAGCAAGGCGAGGCTGACTTCGTTGAGATTCGCGCTCAGCACGCGGAACGGCTGCACGGACAGCACCTTGACGTCTTTGATGGCGTCGACTTGGTGCGCGTACTTGGCGTGTGAAATCAGGTTGTTCACAAACAGGTGGTCGTCGTCGATTTCGTAGGGCACTGCGAAGATTTCGACGAGACCGGGGCAGAGCAATGGTTTGTGCTGTCCGGCGAAGGCTGTGCGTACGTAAAACGCTTGCTGGAACAGCTCGGTGCGAAATGGGTCGAACTCGTACTCGCAGTAGTTGATTCCGCCGAGGATACACAAGTCTACGTTGGAGTCGACGTGCAACTGGATCAGCTTCGGGTCGATCTTTTCTGGCGAGTTGTACAGAATGCGTGATGCCGCGGTGAAGTCGCTGCTGGACAACACCTTTTTGCTGGCCGGCGCGGTTTGATAGATGAAGGTCTTGTGGAACGAAACTTTGCTTGCGAGCCAGTAGGGCGATTGCGCGAGTGCGGCGTTTGCAGGCTCGGGCGTTTTTCGCTTCGGGCGCGCGTAGGTCCACTCGAGCGCAGGCACAGCTTTTGTGTCGACTGGCAATTCGTCGAGCAGCGCGGCAGCGCTCTGCTTGAACTTCGCAGCGATTTCGCCGAGGTTGTTAGTGGAGCAGCAGTACACGCGGTAGTCGGTTGTCGCAAACTTGCTCTGGACCGAGTTCGGACGTACGAAGAGGCGTTTAATCGTGGCGACCAGGTCGTTGTAGAGCCGGCAGTCGAAGAAGAGCACGTGCAGCTGCGCGCAGCTACCTTCGCGCACGCGCGCGTGCAGCACGCCCGCGTAGGTCTCTAGCGCAGAAGCGAAAGCAGTCTCGTACTCGTCGTGCGCCTTGCGCGTCAAAGAAGGAAAGATGTTCGGCATCGCTGAGCTGTCTGCGCGGAAGAACGAATTGTACAGTTTATCGCCTAGCGCAATTTCCGCGCCCGTAAAGGTCGCACTGCGGACGGGGAGGCACAGACTGTTCGGCGCCGCGTAGAGCGCAGGCGCGGGCGCGGGACGCAGCAGTATGATGTACGAAAAGCTCTTGTAGGAGCCGAAGTTGAGCAGCTGGTCGTTCGAGTTCGAGAGCATGAACCCGTACTCGTCGTACAACTCGAGGCTCAAAATCAACGCGTTTGGCGCGGACGGAAGTGTCGCGGCGGCGACCGATTCGAACTTGTGCTCGACGCGGCCGCTGTCGAGCGTGCGCTGCAGCGCATCGTATGAAGCGACGAGGTTTTCGGTGCGGAAGGAGAATAGCTTGAAAGGGTCACTCTCGCCGAGACTCACAACCGAGCGTTTGTCGTAAGGTAGCGGCGCGAGACTCCACTGCTCACGAATCAGCATGAAGTTCGTCAGGTCGATTTCGGCAACCTTCGCGATCAGGTCGATGCGTGATGGGATGTAGGTCTGCGCCTTGATTCCGCAGCTAAACAGCTTCAGTGGCACCAACGGATTTAGCAGGAAGCCGTCGAGCAGGAACGGGTCAATGATCACGAAGTCGTAGCTTTCTTCCGTCAGCCGCTGCACGTTCGCGGCAAAGTACTCTTGCTGCAGCCCTCGGAGGAACAGGCGCTGCGCGTTGCTCGAGGCTGCCTGCAGCTCAGGCGGCAGTTCGGCTTCCGCGCGCGACTCCTGCTGGCTGAAGAGGTCGATCACGCTCAACCGAGTCGCGCATTCCGCCGCAACCTCGTTCAATAGCGTCAACTCCAGCAAGTGCTCCTCCGAATTGACTACTAAACTAACTGAACAGCCTAACTTCAAAAGTGAGAGGGCGAGAAAGACGGAGGAACACCCGATCAAGAGCACGCTGCACGAGTCGCCCCAGCGCAGGTGGTTCTTCACGGAAAAGAGCGCGTGCTCGCAGTACGCCGAGGGGAGCTTCTGCGCTTTTTGGCTCAAAATTTGGTCGATCAGCTGCTTTTTAGACTGCAGGAAGGCCAGCGCAAGCACAAACTTTTTCGCCACGGCGCGCTGCTCCGCTGCTGCGTCCAGCTCTGGCGCGAACAGCGTCTGCGATTCGACGCTCGTGGCAGCCGGCTCGCTGCGCAGCGGCTTCTGCAGCAAGATCGACTCGAGATATTCCTTGCTCACCGTGTCGATGCCGTCGGCGTAGCTAATGCGCTGCTCTTCGACGGGCGCGGCGCCGAGCGCGTCGCGCTCCGCCTCCGCAAGCGCGCGGTCGAATTTAGCGTAGTCCGTCGTGTATTTTAGCAGTGCCTTCTGCTTCCATTTCTCGTTCTCCAGTGCGCGCACGCGCGCGGCGAGCAGCGACGTAAAGTCTGCGTTCTGCGTCAGCGTCGCTGCGCGCTGCAGCGCCGCTAGCGCAGAGTCTAAATGGCCGTACAGCTCGTAAGCCTTTGAAAGCCTCAGCCACGCCTTGAAATAGCTTGCATCGTGCTCCACAGCCAAGATCGCGTCTGAGAGCGCGGCGCAACGCTTGCCGACGTTCGCAAAGCACAGGCTGCGGTTCGCGTACAGTTCCGCGAGTGCCCTGCGATCGCTCGGCTCGGCGCACAAAATACACGAGGTGAACAGCTCCGCCGCCTTCTCGTAGTTCTTCTTGCGGAACTCGGCCCGTGCGTTGTGCCGAACCGACTGCTGCAGCGCTGCTAGATCGGGACATTCTCTTAGCAGCGAGCCGCGGAACTCGACCGAGCTCGTTTCATTGTTGATGAACCTATCTAATGCAACTTGAAGTTCCATAATTAAAAGAGCAAAAGGCTAAGTGTGCATCAGCGTTGTAAGCATTTTGTGCATTATTTCGCCACACACAAAACGCCACTTTTTGGCCGCGCGCGTCACGTTCAGGGGCGAAGCGCTCAGCACATCCGCAGCACGTAGTGCAGCAATTGGTACGTCAGTGCTTGCAGCGTCTCGCAGTACTCGACGATCTCGCTGCCTTTGCTGTTGCTGAGCCGCGAGTTGCGGAAAACCGCGAAGACGTCTGTCTTCCACTGCTCTATACTTTCATACTGATTCGTGGATAAGCTGAGCAACGCCTTGCGCAGCGCAAGCGGGCTCTTGATTTGCCGGTCGTTGCTCTGTAACTTCAGCGCGTCCACCTCGGGCGCGAAACTGCGGCTAGAACTGTGCTGGATCAACGCGTCCGTGATCAATTTCGCGTTGAAGCGCCAGTCGTACTCCACCGGTAGCGGCCAGGTGTCGGTTTTCAGACTGTACGTCCAGGGAACCACGTTTAGCTGATGGTACTGCAATAGCGACTGCGTGAGCAATCCGCCGACGTAGAGCTGATTCTTGGCCTCCTTCGCCAACATCGGTCGCTGCAGGGAAGTCGCAAAAATGTACGGACTCAGCTGCAGCCGCTCGAAAGCGAAGGTCTGGAGCTCGTTGTTCTTGTGTTTCTTGTCAACGGTCACGTTGCTGTTCTCTTCGCTTTCGAACAAGCCTACGATAGAATTGCTCGTGCTTACGATGCACTCGGGCAAACCGAAGCCAAACAAGAAGTACACGAGTTGGCGCACCGCGAACACGAGCTCGGCGCAGCAAGAACACTGTAGCAAAGCCGTGAGGTATGCCATCAGCACGCTGAACACTTCCGCCGAGGTAGGCACAACCGCTAAAGAGCGGTCGCCGAGTAGACTGCGCGTCAGCACCGCCGTGCGCTTCGCGCGCCGACGCTTGCTGTTCGCGTCGCGCGCGTTCGCGCAGTGGCTGCCCACCGCGTCGACTGCGGCTGCCGCTTCTGCCGCTGCAGTAGCCGCCTCGTCACCTGACAGGCCGTCCAGTTCTTCGACGGCCGCGTCGGAATTCGCAATGTCCCAGTCATACGAAGAGTCGAAGTTCTTGTTTTCTTCGGCGGACTCGAGCAGCGGCTGAGAGTTGTCTGGCGGCGAGCGCGTGGCTGAGTGCTGCGCAGACGCGGAGTCGAGCTGCTCAGAATCGCAGTCTGCAGCTGAGCTACGTTGCGAGGGCTGGTTCGAGCGCGAGCTGCAGGGGAATTCATCGAGCTGCGCAGCGAGCTGGTTAATGCGGTGCACAGCGTGCGAAGCGGGGTTGTCGAGCAAGAACACGGAGAAAACGTCCGGTTGCTCCTCGATAAGCTCGAGAAGCAGCTCATTCAGCTGCGTCCATGCCAGCGGCAGCAACTTCTGCTGGTCAAGGAGCGGATAGAGCACGTGCAAACCAATTGCCGTTTGACACGCGAAAAGCACGCTCTGTCCGCTCTTCACCAGAAACTTGACAGTCGTAGCGTCATTCACCCAGTAAAAGTCCAGCAGTCGCAGCATGCTCTCGTAGGAAGTGTAGTCGTCGTCGGCGCGCCATAAATCCCGCACCTCGTACAACGCAGGGAGCCGGAAGCGCGCAAAGTCGCTCACGTTCTTGTGCGTGATGCGTTGCAAGCCGAGCGGCGGTGCGATCTGGCCGGTCAGAAGCAGGTGCAGCGTGCAGCGGAGCGCCTCGGCGGCAATGGCATGTTCCGGGTAGCACTCGCTCACCTCTACCATTTCAAGCAGCTGGTGAGCCATCGCTCGAAACGGAGCCGCGACGTTCGGCAGAAGTGACGCAAAGGTTCTGCTCGTGTCGGCAGCGACGCGCGGAGAGAAGGCGGTGCAGCTCGGTGCGAGCGCGATCGCGTTCGGCGTCACGAAAGAGGGCAACGGTCTGAGCGCCTGCGTGAACATGAAGAACACGTCGGGTACGAAGCTCTTGGCAAGGTAGAACAACTTGAAAGCCCAAAGCAGCAGCGGACAGCGCGGCAACACGCGTAAAAAGGTCTCGGTGAACTTCCGCTCGATCAGCACGACCTTCCGCTCCACCTCTAGACGCACCAACAGTTTACTGAGCAGGTTCGCCAATGGCTGCGGGATCGGCTTGATCAGCAGTTCGTTCAAATTCACGACGGAGTCGCCAAAGCTGCGGGCGGTCCGTTCCAAGTCGTTCTGTTGTGCGCGCAGCGCGTTAAAGTTCTTGACGTAGCTGCTTTGCATAACCCGGAGCAGCGCGTCGTCGCGCATCGCAGAAGCGCGCGGCAAGCTGTGCAGCAGGCTACAGAGCAAGGTCTCGCGCATCGCGTAGAACTTCGGTTGCGCAGCTTGCTGCGTCATCTTCACGCTGATGGCGTTTGGCACCTGGTCGAGGATGCTGTGGAACAGGTCGTAATAGAGCGTAGACGTTTTCTGCTGCAGGTCGCGCAACCCTGCGAGCTGCGCAATCAGCGTTGTGGTAATTTGCATGACGTCAGGCGAGTGCAGATTCACAAAGGTCAGTTCCGCGATGCTGAACGAGGCGACGTCAAACGAAGCTACTACGCCATTCGGCATAAACGCGTCGCTGCAGTTGTCTGGAAATCGGCTGATTTTCTCGTACAGCACGAGCGGCGAAGTGTAGAAGAGCAACAGGATCACGGTCGCGCTCAGCACGGAGTCGTAGTTGTGCATGTGCCGATTCGCTGACGAGACGAGCACAGAGATCGCGCGGACGCGCACCTCCACGTGGTACCGGCAGTTGATTGCCACCGCGAACAGCGCACTGAGCACAAGCGGCTGGTCGGCGAAACGCACCAGCGCGTCGATAGCCTCGAACAAGGCGTGGCAAGCAGTCGAGTACGTGAGTTGTTTGATCCACATGAGCAGCGTTTGAAAGCGCCGCAAGCGGCCGAAGTTGAGACAGTCGTCCGCGAGCGCCGACCAATAGATGCCGAGCCCGCGCACCGCGCGCGAATCAAAGCTGCTGCTGTTCTCGTTAAGCCGGTTCTTCGGGATGAAGTACTGGCGGATAGTCTCGTTCATGTAGTTTTGCAGCATCTCGACTTCGTTAAAGTGCACACTGTGCGAAGAGAAAGATAGGTGCTCTTTGTTCGCCGCGGCCACGATCGTTTTGTTTGGCACGCCGAACAGCCTGGACACGTGTGGCTTGTTGCCGTGGTTGATTGCGAACGGAATCGTCGGGCTTTTAATGCTGCGCTTTGTGACGACGGCCTCGATGCTGGTCGCGATCAAGTGGCGCGAAATCTGGCAGTCTTCGAAGAAGAGTGTGCTGTAGTGCACGGGGGAGCAGAGACTGTAGAGCGAGCTAACAGGGATCGGCATTTTGACCGTAGCGAGGTCAACCGCACTGCCGCGCAGCAAATGCAGCCACATCAAGCTCTGCGTGTACGTCCCCTCAAACTGCGAGATCGTCGAAGAAGAAGGCAGACTCGGAGTCATCGCGTAAATGCTGAAGTAGCGCAGGATCGAGTATATCAGGAACGCAGCAAGCCACTGCGGACAGCCGCCGTTGCTGTTGACGGGAATTTTGTGAATGGAGCCGCTGGCGACAAGGCCTTCCATCAGTGAACTGTTGCTCACCGCGTAGCAGCGCTCCTCTGGTGAGATCTTCTGCCACTGCGTCTTCAGCATCGAAATAATGATTTTGTACAGCGAACCAGTCCCGCCGCAGACCGGCGTTGCGGAGTCACCGACGACGCCGAACCCGTAGTAAAGCAACGAGTCTTTTATGAGTACCTCGCAGCTATTCCAGTTGAAGGCTTCGACGCAGAAGCCTAGCTGGTCCAAAAGCGAGCGCGAGTTCTGCGTGTGTCCGAACGCCGTGTTGAGCCGATTGAGCATCGCCGCGACCTTCTGGTGTTTCGCGGCGCTGGGACCGGCGGCGCCGAACTCCGCCTTGCTGGATATCATCTCCTCGGTTTGCCGCTCGACTAGGTAGAGGTCGAGCAAGCTGGGAGCCGCGATGATGCAGGGCTTAAACTGGCTGCAGTTGTTGTAATCGTAGAGCGACGGCGGCGTCAGAGAGGTCTGCTGCAGGAACACCTTGCACTCGTCGAGCTGGCCGTTTTTGCGCTGCAGCGAAATCACAGTACCTAGAGCGTTGTGACCACAGCCGATGCCCGTAACGTACGCGTTGAAGAAGCAGCGCACCGCAGTAGCGATTTCCTCGACGTCGTACTGAGCGTGACCGCGGTACAGCTTGGGGTCGATGTCGTCGAAGCAGCGCACATTGTCAGGGTCGAACGCGCTACCGACGTCCGCAGCGGGCGGCTCGAGGTTCGACGCGTAGCCGTGCTCAACAAAGTGCTCTTTGACCGCAGAAACGAGCGCGTCCTCAAGGTGCTCAACGTCGCCCGACGTGGCGGCAAAGTTCAGCAGAAACGACTGGAAGAAGTCGCGCGACAAAAAGAAGCTGCCCTTGGAGTTCTCGAGCAGCAGCGACTCGAGCATCGCAAACAGCGCCGCCATTTTGGCAGTGCTTGCTTCGCAAAACAAATCCATCGCGAGCCATGCCCGCACGTTCTTTTTCATCGCCAATGGCTGGTATTCGAAGCCGCGCTCAACCGCGTTGCAGTACGCCTCGTTCAGCCGATACACGAGCAAGCCGGTATCGACAAATCCGAAGAGTGCGCGGTACGCGAGCACGGCCAAGTAGTTGAAGAAGGCGGTGCGGAACCAGACAGTGCGCGCGTCGTACGCGCGGTGTAGCCGCGGAAACAAACTGACGCTCTGCATCGCGGCGGACACCGCAAAGTCCCACTTGACGTGCAGCCCGCATTCTTCAGGACTGTGCGTCATGTAGCACGGAAACACGGCGTGCGAGCGCGAAAATTGCGGCCAAAAGTTGGAGTGAAAGTTCTCGCCAAACGTGCCCGTGTCGCCGACCGTCGTGTCTAGCGAGCCGAGCTTTACGGTTTTGAAGCGTCGCATGCTGATGTCAAGCAACGGGACGCAGAAAAAATGAAACTCAGCTGGGTCCGCGCCGTCGCGCTTCGAAAGCAAAAGTTGCGAAGCAGCCTCGTCGGAGACGGCGCTATTGAGCCAGGCGCGTAGTTTGCGCAACACGACGCCGTGGTGCCCGAAGTTGTACAACAAATTGATCAGCGTCGCTTTCGGAAAGTAGTACCGCGTGACGAGCTCGCCGTCGCGCGCCGAAGACGTTTCGAAGTCGCCTCCAAACACCGCTAGGTCTGAGGCGCAGCAGTTGCTGAAGTAGTACAGCGCGTTCGACGCACTCGCCTCCGGATCGAGCTGCAATAAGCCATATAAACTACGCGCGACAGTCGAGCTCACGCTCAAGCGTTCGCCGACGCAGAACACCGGGTGCGAGCTAGGCGCGAGTTCGACGACGGCGGCGCCGAGCAGATATTCGCGCTCTGCGGAGTAGAACATCGGAAACCAACAGTGTGCAGGCTGTTTGCCCGCGTAGTTCGTGACGAGAAAAAGCTGCTCGGCGACCTTCTCTTTTGCGAACACGTAGTTGACGGACTTGTCGAAATAGAAGCTGGAGTTTTGCAACAGCGGCGTGTCGAGAGTGAAGCTAAGGCGTAACGCGAAGTGCATCTCTGCCGCGCCGTGCTTCTGCTTCAGCGCACCAAGCAGCGCATGAAAGGGACACAGGACGCGGAGGCGGTCCGGCGGCAAGAAATAGTGAGTCGAAAGCAAATGATCGAACTCGGAAATGCTGTGGATCACGTAGTCTGCGGGCGACAGCGCGGCACTCACCGCGCTCTTTTCGCATTGCGTCGGCACCTGGTTCACCGTCGCACGCAGATCGCAAAGCAAACTGGAGTTTTCGACATGGAGCTCAAACACGACGCTAACAATCGGCTCTGCGACAGCCGCGCGCGCCTGCGCAGCCGCGTCGAGCTGCACGAGCAGCGACTCGAGCTGCGCTTCGTCCAAGCTGTCAAGCGATTCACGCTTGGACTGCGTTGCGAGCGCCACGGCTACTGCAGGATCCGTTTGCAGGTGCTCGGAGTATGCGGCATACGCCTCGAGGACGACGTCCCACAGGGCGGCAGCTTCCGCGGCGTCGAGAGACACGAGCAGCGCCTCGTCAACCCGCACTTGCAACGCAGCGAAGTCGAGGCCAAGCAAAAGGCGCAACGCCTCGACGCGCCGAGGGGCGAGAATTCGCGCACCCATCGCAGAAGTTGCGCACTGCCCGCCAAACCGTCGGGCTCGGCCGAGTGCTAAAAATTAACGAATTAATAAGATGTCGCAAAGGATTGGCGCGGCACGTGCTGCGGCAGCCGCCAGCGTCAAAAACTGTAGAAACTCTGCGTCTGGTTCTTCGCGCTGCTCTGCGAGTTCCACGCCTGCTCGAAGTCGTCCTGCTCAACAACGTAGCGATCGGCGCGGATCGCGCGCATGCCCGCTTCCTGGCAGATCGCAGCGATGTCCGCCGCGCTGAGGTGCCCCGGGCGGCTGAGCAGCGCGTGCAAGTCGAAATTCGGGCTAATGTTCATCTTGTTCATACAAGCTTGGAAAATCAGCCGCCGCTGCAGTTTATCCGGAATCGGAAACTCTATCTTGCGGTCCAGTCGGCCTGGGCGCAGCAGCGCCGGGTCGAGCGTGTCTACGCGGTTGGTGGCCATGATCACTTTGACCTGCGTCGCCTGGTCAAAGCCGTCCATCTGGTTCAGGAGCTCCATCAGGATGCGCTGCACCTCGCGGTCCGCGCCCGTCTGCGCGTCGTAGCGCTTCGTCGCAATCGTGTCCGCCTCGTCGATGAAGATGATGCTCGGCGCGTGCTCGTTCGCCATCCTGAAAATCTCGCGCACGAGTCGCGGGCCTTCGCCAAGGTATTTGTGCACGAACTCGCTGCCAACGATGGCGAAGAACGTCGCGTTCGTCGAGTTCGCAACGGCTTTTGCCATTAGCGTCTTGCCAGTGCCCGGAGGCCCGTACAGCAACACGCCCGTCGGCGGCTCCACACCGGTTTGCTCGTACAGCTCCGGGCAAGTGAGCGGCAGCTCGACGGCTTCACGAATTTCTTGCTTTTGCGTCTCCAGTCCGCCGATGTCAGCGAAAGTGACGTTCGGCTTTTCCGTCATCGAGTACTTGCTCACTGTGATGTCGAAGTCCTCCGGCAGCACTTCAATGATCGACTGCGACTGCCGATGCATCGCAATGGTCGCCATTGGCTTCAGCTTCTCGCGGTCAATCGTCGTCAACACGCGCACGTAGAAGTTCATACCGCCGATGCCCTGCACGATAGCGTGGTCTTCGTCGATCATCTCCTGGAACTGACCGATCAGCAGTGGCACAGACTTCATGCGCGTGAGTTCTTTGTTGACCCAGCCGATCTCGTTTTTCAAGTACGTGATCTCCGCCTTGAGAAACTTCTCGTGGATGTGCAGGTAGGACTGGCTACGCGCGAGCTTTCGGCTTAACAGAAACAAGTCGGCTGGAACGCTGCCGTTTGACGCGCATAACCGCGCGCTGTGCTGCAACTTTGCGCTCATGAAATAAAGCAAGCTTCGTTTAGACTCGCGAGGCGCAGCCGGTAGGGCGGACTGAGTCGAGGCAACCGCGGTTCGATTGCTTTTTAATAGCGAATATTAAAAGAATCAGTGCGGAAAATAAGCCTTTACGGCAAGCCGCGCACAAAGCACTCATTCGCACCGCGCCGGGCCGCCACGCGGACCGCGCGCTTAGCGCAAGTCTGATAACTCTAATTTGTTAGCCGTCAGCAAGTGCTGCGGCAACGGCGTCGTGGGCCGCTGCGGCGAGTCGCCGGCGCGCTGCAACTGCTTCAGCCGGCGCTCCTCCTTCGCTTGGAACTCTGCGAGCATGCGTTCAATTTCGCGGCCGAGTCGCGCGACGATGCTGAGGTAGTCCACAGGTTTCAACTTCTCGAGAGTGGCAGACGTTTCGCCGAAGCGCATGGCCGTTTGACTAAACACCTGCTCCGCCTTTTCGAGCACGCCCAGCAGTGTGGTGAGCTTGTCCAGCGCGGCCGTGAGGAACGGAATCAGCCGGAAGACAACGGCGTCGTCGGAGTCCTTGTTTGCGCTTTTCGCCTGCAAGCTTTGCAGCGTCGTCTGCGAGCGACTCGTCAGCGTCTCCAGGGCGCTGCGAATCGCGGGCAGGTTGATTGTCGACGCCTCCATGCACGGCGCGAGTTCATCAGTCATCTGCAGCTTGTCCACGAGCTGGCTACGCATGTACAACTCGAAGATGTACTCGAGCAGCGTGCGCACAGGCCTCCGCGTGGTCTTGTACTCGAAGAGCGAGCTGATCGTGGCGAGTCGCACGCCGGGCACGTCGACTTCGTTCAGAGCGGACGCAACTTTGGTTACCACGAGCATGAAAAAAACGAGCTTTCGCGAGCTGTTGAGCGCCTGCACGCCTCTGGTGAACTTTTGTATGGGTTCGTCGAGCAACGCATACTCTTCGTGGAAGCTCAACGCGAACGCGTGCGCCTGCAGCCGGTCCTCGAGGTCGTCGAAGTCCATTAACGCGCAGACGTACTGCTCGGGTCGGTCGCATTCCTTGATATCGCCACCGCTCTGCAAGAACGCCTTTACCGCCGCTACTTCTTCGGGCAGCGGCAGAAAGTTCAAGACCGTCTCAGTGTTATTCGCCGTAAACACTTCTTTGTCAAGTTTTCTAACCGCGCGGCGCAGCACGTCGAAGCCGCTCTTCGTCACGACGTACAGCGCTAGCGCCATGTTGTGATGTCGCTTCGGGTCTGAGAACAGTATCTTCACCTTCGGCTTGTCCGGCTCGGCAGATTTTTCCTGTTTGGCGGCGTCCGTGCGCACAACGCCGAACAGCTCCTCGAGCTCGCGTTCCGGCACTTCAAAGTCCTCGGTGTCCGTGCAGAAGGTATCCGCGTCACTGGCAGCAAGATCGCGCAAGGGCTCCCACGGAAAGCGCTTGTACTTCCGCGGAACGCGCGGCGCCGTCGACGGATTGACGCGCTTCGGCGGCGGGCCCTTCGGCAGCGTCTTGCCAAGAGCGCTGCTCTTTTTCGTCGGAGGACCGATTTTGCCGCCCACGGCGGTCTTTTTGGCAAAGGGCGGCTTTGGCGCTGCGCTCGCAGTCTTTACGGGCATCTTCGTCGCAACCGTCGATTTTACTCCGGTCGCCAGTCTGGCTACGGCCGCTTTGCCTGACGGCGCGCCGCTCGTCGCTTTCGAAGCCGTGAGATTCGCACCAATCGCAGATAGCGGCGGCGCCGCAGTTGCCGCGCCCAACGTGCTGAACGCTGACGCGCTTTCCGCTCGCGGAGCGAAGGCCGCTTGCGCCGCCAGCTGGAAAGGCACACCGTTTTCCGTGGCGGTGAGCACTTCGCTCACCGCAGCCTTAATCGCAGCCACATCGGTCAGCCCGTTGCGCACGCAGCTAATGATCGCTTTGCGCCGCAAGTGCGAGCGCTCCGTTTTGCGCATCTCGCCGTCGTCCGAGTCGTCGCTGTCAGCCTGTTCAGGCGGAATGACTAGAATGTCGTTCGAGTCGTCCGAATCGAAGTAGCTGTCTAGGCGCTCGGCGTTGTTGCTGCGCGTCGACTGGAAGCTGCTGCAGCGCGCAACTCTGTTACGTCCGCCGACCGGTGACGAGACAAACTGCTTCAGACTTGCGCGTGTGCTAGGCCGGCCCTCTGACTTTGCGACAGCGTTCAAGTCGCTCAGCATCGAGCCGAACATTTTCTGCTCAAGCAAGTTCAAGCGCGTCCCATCGCTAACACTTTCCGCTGCTGAGCGACCCGCGGCTCCGCGGCTGAGAATAAACTTGTCGTACGCCGCGTCGTTCTCCGCGTCCACGTCTCCAATGAAGCTCAAAATTGTGTCTAGGCTGCCGCGGTCGTCCAACGCGTCGTAGTACGCGCGCAGAGTGTCGAACTGCGCACTCGAGGAATGCTTGCCGTCGCGACCCGACTGCAGCAAATCTTCGCGGTCGACGCTCTGCTGCAGCAAGTTGCTCTCGTGCAGGATGCTGCTAATGAGACCGGTGCTCGCGTGGTTCTGACTGAAGTAGCTCATTGCTCTTCAAGTGCTGCGCTCGCTCTTGACCGCTCAACTTAAAAATCACGCGATCGGCGTGCTTTGCCGCACAGACAGCTGTCTGCTCCGCTGCATATTTTGCGTATAAAACTACAGCATGCACCAGCCGCAAGCGAGCGCGCCCCGTCGTCTAGAGCGACAGCAGCGCAAGTTCGGGCCAACTAACTTTCCTGCTAGAGCTAAACATCTGCAGCAGCGGAACGATGCCGCTGACGCCGCCAGGCAGCAGATCGACTAGCCGCGGCAGCCGCGATCGCGTGGCCATCAGCGCGGCCAAATTCAGGTTCGAGCCCAGCGCAGACGGCGCGTCGCTCTGCAGCAGCCCACCGCAGTTGTCGCCGGCTCCTCCGACGCCGTAGCCGCCAAACCCAGAAGTTGGCTTTTTCAGCAACTGGTAACGCCGCCCGTTAGCCGCGCGGTAGATGCCCTTAGCGGGCGTATCGCGGCGACCGTGCTCCGCGGGCACGAAGAACGGCGAGTGAAAAGAATCGCCGATGCCGTAGCAGCTGCACGCGTCTACTGCGCGCCGCGATCACTTACGGCAGTCGTGGAAATCAACACACGTAGCGCGCCTATTTAACGCGTTGACGTATTTATGCGCCGATATTTTAGTAAGAAGCGAAACTTCTTGGGCGCTTCGCGGCAACTCGATTTTTTTCATAAAGGTGCGCCTGGCCGACGGTTCGTGCAACCGTGATGCGGAAGCGTCAAGATCATTACCTACTGCCGCGCGGATACGTACGGGTCACTTTCTTGCAGGGAGGAAAACCTCGCAGTTTCGCTGTGGTCTGCACTCGGCTCTTCGACAACGTTGCAAAGAAAGCGTCTGACTGCTCGCAGAAAACGCTGCTCAGCGACGCAGTCTTCAGTGTTGCTAAAGAATGGTACAAAGATCCCGAAGAGTCGCTCCTCGCGAATCGCGCAAAGACTTGCGCAAGCTCCGCGCCGATGCACAAGTTCTGCGCTGAGCAGTACACCGTCGAGCACCTTTTCGAGATGCTGGCGCCTGACTTGAAGCCACTATTAGTAGTGAATATGACGCACAAGACCAACGCTTACGGCGTTAACCAAGACTTCGGCTTCAAAGTGCTACGTTTCGATGCGCAGTGCAACGGCAAGCTTCCCAAATTGAAGCAAACGCGCGACATGGTGCAGCGCGTCTTCGACGTGATCGCCCGCTACTACAAAAAAAACGGCGACGAAGCCGCGACGCCCTGCGTCGTCATGCATTGCACGCACGGAGTGAACCGCACCGGCTTTCTGTTTCTTGGCTTGCTCGCAAAGACGCTGCATTCGACGGAAGAGCTCGTCGAGTTGTTTGCTCAAACGCGAGGCTACAAAATTACGAAACAACACTTCATTCAACACTTTGCGGATAACCGCGACAAGCTGAACTGTGCAGTGGACGTTTTGCAGGTCGAGGCCGTGCTGGCGCCGCCGTTCAAAACTCGCCAGTATCTGGACAACGAAAAAGCGTGTTTTGTCTAAATATTTAAAATAGCAGCTACGATGGCGGAGCGACTAGTTTGCAGAAAGCGTTGCACGTACAACACCCGGTCCAACAACCGCCGAAAAGTGCGAACGCCGGGAAACCGGCTCGTGTACCAGAAGGTTCCAAAGCTGCAGGGCCCCGCGCGCTGCGGCGTGAGCGGCGCCATTTTGGGCGGCGTCCCGACGGGACTCAAGAGACGCATCCGCTCCGCACCCAAGTCGCAACGCCGCGTCAGTCGGCCGTACGGCGGCTGTCTGTCGCACAAAGTCGTGCGCGGCAAAATTCTCAGCGCGTTTCTCGCAGAGGAAAAACGCTGTGCGCTGCAGGTGCTGAAGGCCAAGTCGCGCGCGAACAAGGCTCCGCGCGCGTAGTCTGCGCGTTGATCCAAATCTTTCGCTTCGATTTTATTCTTTTTCAATTTTGCCGTGCCGCGCTTGCTGCATGAAAGATGCGCTCAACTTCCTGCGCTCGTTTACGCGGGAGCTGAGCAGCATCAGCGGCGCGCATACCCAGCCGTTCATTGCGCGGGAGCGCCTGGCGAGCCTAAACTACTTGAAGAACTATGAAGCCGCGGTTCTCGATTCTCTCGCATTTGGCACCGTCTACGACGTAAAGGACACGCAGAGCGCCGCTGCACGGCAGATCAAGCGCAGCGTCGCGCAGGCCCGTGCGGACGCGCAAACAACCGCGTGCTCCGTCACCGACTATGCGCTCGCGACGCGGAACTTCGTCGCGAGCGATCGACTCGGCGTCTCGCTTCCGCAGAGCCGCCAGG